GCTTTTTAACATTGGCGATGTCAGACGCAGGTGATGCGATAACTTACTGACAGAAATTGAGAAAAGCGAAGGCAATCAAACCGTGACCGCCGAAACGGCTCAGAAAACACCGTGTCTAATCAAAATGGATTGCTTTACTAACCGATAAGTTTACATATGTTATGGCCAAACGGTCAGGATGGTCGTTGAAACATTCAAACATAGAAACGTCACGAAAGGTTTTGGAAGCCCTAAGCTGTGCAGTCCCAGGCAAATGCTCACACACTTGTGGGTGAGGTCGTGCACACTCATGCACACGTTGCTGATCGCTAAGCAGCTGGGATGTAACGGGAAGTCAAACATACACTGCGAGCGCCCCGAAAACATGTAGTACCATTCGAACTTCAAAAGTATTTCTTACCTTTCCGAAACATATGATGCTGGTACTTGGCGAACCAGCACTGTTTTTCAGGTTGCTCAGCAGATGACGTTGTAATAAATAAACCTGGGCAAGTGCGTATCGTCGCAATGCGTGATAATTGCAGGTACTTTTGATGTACGTAGGTATACCTGACCACTCCCGTCACGTGTGATCCCGATGGTGAGGTAGGAATACGGGCCATAACTTTCACGTAGGGGAGGCACCGCATGTAGTAGTAGTGGGTGTACCTAACGATCCAACGGCAGCAAACGCGTGGTAAAAACGGAACATAAAATGGAAACAATAAAATGTCGGCTTACAAACACTGATGGCAGGTGAAATGCTCCTGCGCGTTGAACGACGCGCACAGCTGATGATAACAAAGTCCGCACTCGGAGAACATGACGCAGTCAACTATCTGTCCGCTCTATACCCCGCAGTCTGATTGAAGGCACAAAGCTCACTTGTTATTGTAGTAATTGGCTGGAAGTTTTGCATGGCAACGACGCTTCCTTGGAGGCTTATTCTCCCTGGCGGTGGTCGTGCGCAGTTGTATAAAACGAAATGGTTTGCCTTCTTCCTCCTGAGCGACTAACACATCTGGAATGTGCACCAGGCGTTGCATACCTCTTCTGCCTTCCCTGCTATGTTCAGCGCTCCCTACTGCTGATTCACTTGTGTTTCCGGATGCAGGGTTCTCAACCTCATCGTGAGAACTGGTTAGCTTATGCAGAAACTCCCTCAACTGTTTCATCACCACCTTATGCTGTGTATCTCCAAAACTACAAACGTGCACCTAAATATCACCCAAAACCTGACTACCCTCGCGAAGCTTTTGCTCCCTAGTTACTGGAGCCACTGTGGAAGTGGATGGCAGCGGGACGATGGTACACGACGGGGATGCAGTTACACCTCAATGTTGCGGATGCGACAAAACCCCGGGGGCTATTGCGCAATATCTCATCCACTGGGTGGCCAGCCGCGTGCATTGCATGCACTAGGTGAGCACACAGAAGTGGCCATTGTCGACTGAAGCTGCATTGGCATGTTACGACCTCACGCAGCGACACCGTGTATTGCCTTCGGCATCCTTGCACTTGACATCTACCATTGGACAGGATAGTCGCACTCACATTTTGTCTTGTGTAGTGTCCTCGCAAACGCATCTTAGAGTACCTTGAAAACTGTGAAGTAGCCCGCCCAGGGCTATCGAAGTGAGGATCGAATACGCGCTCAGACAACTCCATTTTATCCATCAAATCTTGTCACCGCGATTGGGCATCAATTCCGCGAATAAAATTGGCGGTAAACAGATCTAATAACGTTGTTCGCTCCGAGAGACCAAGCTTTAAATGCCTATTTTTGTTCTCCACCCGGTTTGTCGTATAGCAGCCGAACAAACACGTTGACCTCAGGCGGTGCGCTGCCCATGATGGGACAAACGGCAATCAAGTCCTTACCAAGTACGTGTGCACATCGTTGTTGCCCACTTGAATGCTTGGCAAGTAAGTGTCCAACAACCAAGAGCTCCTAGCACACAACAAGTGTGCTCACCCACTGCTTGAAGAGCATCCTGTCCAGCACACTTTTGCCGACTACACGTTATAGCGATGGGTCACATTTCGGAGTAAATGGAAACAGCACAAAACTATGTGCGCAGAGGGGTACACGGATTTAAAGGCACGGACCTGCGACATGCACTTAGCAATCGCCACTGTCCGTGCTGCTTCAGATGCTGGTAACGTAAGGCGCATGTTGTGCACAGCGTTCACGTACGATACCGTTGTTTCATTCGGAAGCAAGGCATAGAAAAATGAACGTCCTACACCACTTACATCTACTAACAAGCGGCGCCACAGTATGTAGCCACCGCAGTTCATCTGGTATGCGGCATCTGCCAGCATTACCTCACTGTAATGGTCCACGAGGTCAAGTACGTAACTCAGAACGAAAAATTGGAACCGTATCTCCGATTCCTCGTACTCACCGTTACACTGACCGACGCTCTCAAACAACTCGGCTACAGTTTTCACTGAGTTCCCGTCCACCTTACCTCTCATATTATGTCTTACATTTCGCAGGTACTAAATGTTCACTCTTTTACCGTAGAGTGTGAACGCATGCTTCCTCAGCTCGCGTGTGTCCTTAAACTACTACACCCTATGATAGACTTCCGCTTCCGCGTGCCGCAGGAGCCGTCTGTTGCTCACAGAGGTAAAAGGTCTGCCGACATGAAAGGTATGAATCTGCACAACATTGAAGGTACTATTTCGTAACCCCAGCTGTTATGCCATATGACAACCTTGGTTTCACAGTCATAACTTTTGTATCTGCAGTTCACAAGCATTTCATATAGGTAACATGTCAACTTACAGCTTGCATGAGTACCCACTTGGCCGACAGTCTGTATATTCACAGTAACAGCTATTGTATCCCAACGTATTCTTTGCTTTTCCTTCACCAGAGTACAGAAGCTTGCTGTCCGCTACGGCAACCTCCCAGTCGTGAGATTAGCACTGACGGTTATGGAGCACGGTTCCTACGATACGGACCGACTTACGTTTTCTTCCAAGGCAACAAAAGCTGTCACGTCTGATGTGACAGAATTGAGAGATAGCGAACGAAAGGGTTCTAGCATTGTTTAAAAAGTATGCCCTCTATTGCTATCTTTGGGGATTTCAGCGCAGTGCGTGCCATAGAGAAGCAGCGGAAGTTTTGAGCCGGTCTTACAGTACCTTCGTGGTGAGCTGCATATTCGACGTGCATTTAGACAAAAACTGCGGTATATAAAAGCAAAGCCGTTAAAATTTCTAAGGCGTTTAAGCCGGCGAATCCGCCAATTTTAAAAGACATAAACAGGTTGAATGTACCGCGGCTACCCTATTATATTGAATGCTTCAGTTCTTCTGAGCTTATTAATGCTATTACAGACGCTTAGTAAAATTTAAAAATGCCCAAATTTGGTATCTTTAGGCATTGAGTCGACTGAAGTGGAACAGGTGTTGCAAACACAGTGTGAAATAAATCGCATGTGAAGAAAGCTACAGACCGATGCAAATTTCAAATCAATAATCTCGGAAATTTACAGAAAGAGCGTATTTGTCAATACATATTTAAACAATTGAGGTGTATCTAATACGCTAATGAACCTGGAATGTGTTAATGAATGTTTTGGTTGACGCAGATTATTTGCTTTACGGACTCTTATCTCACATACGTAATACACCTAGATGCCGTCTATTGGAATGTAGTTGCAGGATTGTTAAGAAACAAGCGGCACCTTGGTACAGTAGCCAGGTTTATCCCACATTAATATCCTGATCTTCTGACTTATGGCGTTCGTCTGAAGCCTGTACAGCCTACACTGCAACAAATACACTTAAACGGTATCTAAAACATACAGGTGTTTTTATATTGCTTCATAATCATGAAAACGAACGACATCGGCGCAGTATGATCAGCACAGGACTCTGATGCTCGGCAACAATTTGGTGAACTCAAAATTGCGCATGCATCCTACGGAAAAATTGCATCAGCCTGCGACTCGAAAATTAAAACAATGGTTTCTTAACATTTAATACCTACTATCTCCTAATGGATAATAATTTTGTGTTATTGTAGTTCTACCTTCGGAAAGATTTATTGTGCTTATAGCCAAGAGATTAATACTGATTTCGTAAAAACAAGTAAGTGTTCTGTTGCTAGAGTACAGAAATGGTAATAACTGGTATTTCTGATGAGTGGACGACCACCAACACGAAAGATGTATGTGCACATGTCTGTATAGGGCGTAATAAGCTACTTGCTGCATGCCCACAGTCAGAAGCTAGAAATAACCGTCACTAAGAGTAGATGATCCCTTATGTAGAGACCATTGTTCCTTAAAACACAAATATCGTGATAGCAGTATTTCGAGAAAAGCGTCGTGTACTAAATAATTATGCATATTCTAACGGTCTGTTATATACGACGGCACTCCAAAACGGTTATGAAATGTTCGCCTTTATGTAAACTTGGATTGCCTGCTGGCAGAACATTGCCGCACAGTGCTTAACCATTTGTTAGTGCATACCGACAAATGAACCTCAACTAACGCATGCAAAGGAGTCATTTCTTTGAAGTACGATAAAATTAGCCGTTAATAAAATATTAATTGAATGTTAAAGCAAAAACGCGAATACGGTGACTCATGGCTATAGTTCTGTGCGCCATAATAAGCGCGAACCGAGAAAGATATCAGAGGTGGCCAGAAGCTTGACTCAGGAGTGGCCGAGTATAACGCATGACACACTAAAGTTTGACGCAGAACGAAAAGCGCTAAAACCGACGTAGTTGTGTAAAATTGGATAACATTTAAACAAAAGCAAGAATTTAGTATTATGTTATGAATTTGCAAACAACTGGGGCAGTGCAAGGATGCCCGGCTCAGGCAGCTACTGTCCTCAGTTGTTTGTTATGCACAAGTAACTGTTTCACACGTCTTTCTCTTTGTTTTCAGTTTACTGAGTTAAACATTTTCGGACCAGTTTCAATTTCCAAAGTCCACTTCTGGTCATATGACCGATTCAAAGTGCGGCTTTATTGCGTTTTGTCCACTAACATGCATGCTACGGAAAAGCACGTATTTCAGTTAACTGGGAACGGAACAATAATATTATCACCCATACCGGAGAAGTATTTCGCAGCAGGTAAGCATTATGTAGCACAGTGAATGTTGATATAGATAAAAGCAGGCATTATTGGTAATTTGTACACGAGTATCTTCGAATTTTAACGAACAAACCACAGTTCACTAAATACGCAGCGCGCATTCACTTTGCAATAGGTGTAATATTCGAAACGCGCCTGACAGTAAGATATGGCTTGTGCGAACTACGATTTTGGTGTGGGATAAGTCTGTAGGAATTATGACAGTTCTGTCCATTCTTTTACATTCCTTTATTTTACGACCTTATGGATGGATAATGTTTCAGTTTGATTAAATAATAGGGTGTTTCATACATACAAATTTTGAAAATGGTTATATAAACCCGCTAGCATGCTACTGGGTTGTACCAAGAAAGCAGCAGGTCAAATAGAAAATGTATCTCGTAAGTTAACCAAGTACAACTGAGTCAGTCCCTTGTTAAACGGAGAGTCAAGCGACAGACACACGACCAATAGTAACGTAGGAGCGGGTCAGCAAGCCAACCAATGGGATTGAGCCAATCGATGTTGCTCACATGGTTACCACACACTGCATGCGTCGCTTCTTCGCATTACGGGGAACTTCGATAATCGCTGTTCGATGCATAGTGTTTCCAGTCTAATCAGGTTAACAACTTCAATTGTTGACACATTACAAGGAATAGTATCTGAGAAAAATGTATGACTGCGGTTCGAGTAGTAACAGAAAAATATTATTGGTTCCTCTTCTAGTTTCTCCAATGAATGAGCCCGTCAAAACTAAATGTATGAGTGTTGTGAAACCAAAGTGAATCAGTTATAGCAATCGCATTATTTGCTCATGGTTTATGTGCATGCCTAAGGAACACTTGTGCACCGTATCCACAATGTTTCTCCAGAAAGTAAGCTTTATTGCATGATCTGTGGGATGAGTTGCACTGATAGAGGAGCATGTGACCAGTGTTGGTTCCCAATTAGTACTAATACAAATCGCAGGCTATAAATATATACCGCAACTTTAACTAACAGTGACGTTGTTTTAACTGGTAGGTGCAAAAATCGGGTTACGCTTATTAAGCGCTTTTTCAAGCACGTTAACCCTTACAGTGAATTCATCGAACTGTGGCGCGTTTGTCGAATCTGCAACTGCACATTGGCCTAATGCCATGCGCTTGGTTTACATAAATCAGCATTACATTATCTGCAAATTATTCTTCCTTTGACTCTGGCAAGAATGTATGACGTTACCAAACAACTAAAATGTACAGTCGTTTCAGACTGGAAAAAGGAAGTTAGGTTGGAAAACGACTCTGTGCATAGAAAAGGGCACATAGCATTGGTTTCTAGTATAATGTTTACATTGTTCGTCATGTTCGTTATCCTAACTAGGTAGCAGTGCTTTACAATTATACACCACTACCTATGGTGCAGTGGCATGAACTAATTTAAGGCATGTTAACAGGTGGCATAACAATTTAAGCGTCTACATATGCATCTGCAGTTAAGAAACAAATTTGCTTCCTTCTACCTCATTGTATTTAAGACTTAAGTCTTACCACTGTAGAGGGATGACGAAAGATGTTACACAAATCAGAAAAGCCTTCCAACCAATGATGTGTAAGTAGTATTTATATATATCTTCCGCAGATATGTTCAAGCTACTTGATAGGTTAGTAAGCTGCATACAAACGTCCACGAGCATAAGTATAAAAAGGAAAAAATCAATGCTTACCCGTCCAGAAACGAGGATACCACTTTTCTCCTGTCTTGGAGTTCAGGATGAACAAGTCTGGAATCCGTAGACTCGTCCCCTTACTCGAGTTAAGACGCAACCGTATGTACAATCTTGAAAAGTTGAATGGTTAGGTTTCTGCCTTTGTCAACTCAGTGGCGGGCTTGAAGACGCTTCAACTTTTAGAAATGGAAAGTAATAACGACGGACTTGATAGTCATAGTGAGGAGTCACCTAGTTAACCACTGCATTGTGTTCGATGGTTTAATCCTGGAAACCTGGAAGACGTAAAAATCAGTGATAAATTCGAAACCAAATTGTTTGCTTTGGTAATTTTCTAGGGGTGTCTAGTCATTGTGAGAAAATTAGCTTCACCCCCTCATGATTGTGAACAATTTTAAAACATTATGAACATAGATGTTCATAGAAGCCGGTTTTTGTACGGAAAATTCGCGGTTTGTCTATGTGGCTTCCAACCCGTATTCTCTATAGTCACTGAATCCTCCAAGTTGTATCCTTTCTTTTGAAATCAATAGCAAAAATGCATGTAGAACAATCTTATTTCTGGAGTGCCGTTGAAGAAAGTTGATTGTCAAAATGTTTCAAGTCTGACGCAGATGTTTCAGGAGGAACGCGGAGGTATGCTGCATTGCACAAAATTTGAATAAAGTGATAACTCCTTCATCACAGAGCTGGGGATATCTAGGTCGGTCAGCCTTGTTAGGAATGTAGCCAGCAAATTCAATACCTTCATTTTCACATCTGTTTGCAAACTACTTCTTGGAACAGAACAATTGTTGCATTGACATACACAAATGGCTGCAAAGATTATTAAGATCGCCGATTTTGCGATGAAGCCAGAGCACGTTATCGGAAATTATCAGTAGGTCTCGCGCGTATTTATTTGAGCATAGATTGATACCAGCACCAAGTTTTGCATAGTGCCAAAATGTTTATTCCCTTTACTTTTATAGGGGCTAGATTCGTTTTGGCTGTCTCTGATTTCTGCACTTTACGACTCGTTACATTCTGGTTTGGACTCATCAGGTAGAGATAGCAAGAGCTAGAAGTGCAGCTCGGCACAAAACGGTTGGCGACTATCGCAGAGAACTGTAGACCAAGGAGCTCTACGAACAATGCTTGACACATCGGTTAAGAGATAATTGTCAGAGTTTGGAGCACCCGCAGCGTGTTTTGAATAGCGACATGCAACGTTACTTTTGGATACCGCTGACGTTGAAGTCAGCCTCTGTCAGTCCGAGCAATGGGTGCGTATCCGAAATGGAGGATTTTCTGTGTGGCTCTCTCCCAGCTCTGCACTGCACGTCCGACGGTTTCGTCCTGATTTAGGCTCAGCATTGCTCAGAATGGCACGGACTAACGAAAGTATAAGCTGAAGCCTCCATTAAACCTGCGTGACGCATCCATGACACACGGTGGGTACTACGTAACAAGAAAATCATCTATCCGATGTGTCAAGCGCTACTTGTAGGGATCAACGGTCTAGTGACTTTGGTGATAGTCACCAACCTCTGTGCGCAGAGGTCCACACACAAGTAAGCTTATTTCAACCTGCTGAGTCCAAACGAGGAAGAAACCATCTGTCATGGAGTGCAGGTATGGGAAATAGTAAGCTCTAAACCCTTCACTTTGGACACAGCCCAGGTGCTTGGAATGGCACATGTTAACTAAAATGTTAGCTGTGGCTACAATTAAGAATGCATATTCCAATCCTAAACACGCATCAGGTACTGCAATACTCAGCAGTCATTAAATTTGTTACTATGCATGAGACATGAGTTTCGGGCAAAAGCAGGTGGTCTTTTTGCAAGTTGGCTGAGTAGGACATCATTAACATTGAAGTTAGCACATAAGAACGGAAAGGTTTCCAAGTGGCAGCTAAAACGCAAAATCCTTGCTCGGCAGCGTGAATCATTAGTTCAAAGAGTAAAACAAAGCCAACTTTGAAATCTCTATCAGCAGGCTTATGAGACATGGTAACGATATCTGAGGTTGGAAATAACGTTGGTCTCCGTTGGCAAACATTGCATTTTTTGCCTAAACTGTTTGTTTGTAAGTCACCGTAGCCTAGAAGCAATTGGAGCGTTTTATTCACAGTTCTATTTGGCGACATTTACTGTATCTTGTTCTTTGCTGCCGAGTGGCGCACTCATAGTGTTTGAAGTGATTAGGATTCACCCTTTGTGACGAACCATTTACGTGCGCGAATATGCGCAATTGCTTGTGATGTCACAATTTCCCTCACTAGCATGTGGTTGTAGTAATCACGTAGGTAATTTTGATATCTTTGCTCTACCCAAATGCACAACATACCCTTGCAATTTAGCAGCGTCCAGTAAATGATCTTGGAAAATTAGTTTTCCACTTAAAATTTTGAAAGACAAATGCAAGCTAAGCTAGCGCTGATATAACCCTGCTCCCGAAGTAGTTTTATTCTAATCTGGGATTATGCTGTGTCTTTCCTTAAACATTGAAATCTTACCGTCTATTCCTGTTGTATCCAGATCCAGCTGAACAAACTGTTTAACTTACTTGCCTCTTCTACAGACCCAGAACTTGTAATTGGAAGCGTCCGTAAGTTGTGAATTTATCGGTTGCAGTTATAGAGTTGCTAATAGAATGCATAGTAAGGCAGGTACGCGGAATGTTGACTTGGAAAATCTATTACATTTTCCCTAAGACTTTTAAGTAGTTAGTGGATATCGTCAACAGTCAGATTTCAGTTCATTTCACATATTTCCTATCTCGTGTCCGAGTAACAGGAACTTGACTAAACTTTGACAATTAATAGCCAGGTTCCACAATATTGCTTACCGAATTGCGAAGGTCGTCTTAAAAAGTAATCCCATGCCGACCGGGGAATTTGCGTTTGGTCACATAGTTCTGTGATCTGGTAAGGAAAGCAATCATTAAAATCTGTGGCTATTAAAATGGTTGCATAAGGAGACACATCGGATTTTAAGTCCACGTGTAGTTAACTGCATCGTCAGAATAGTGTTCACGCCAGCTTAGTCAATGGTAAAATAGATCGGTAATAAGATTCCGGCACAAGTACATTTCCTCGGTACTTAACTGGTGATGGAACTTGTGACCGCCAGACGCTGATGCCAACTAGCCAGCAACCAACACTTTTCCGGACTAGGATGTGCTTTGTAGCTTGTGAGTTGCAGGAACGAAATCAACGAATTACAACTAATAGCTTCTGACGAGTAAGTAGTAGAAAATAGCTGGCCTGTCCTAGTTTCAAATGTTATGGATATAGCGTCCAGTGAGAGGAAGGCAAGATGTCAGAGACCAGCCACCGTCATCTACCAAGGTAGTAATCTGCATGACAGTGGAAGATGGATCATGCTATGTCCTAGTTAGCTTGCAAATTATGTAGCCCAGCTGCCATCCCCCATTACTCGGTGGTCTAACCTGCTGGCTAATTAGCACCATCCTCTAGCGGTCATGGGTTAGATCCCCAGTATGGGACCGAGGGAATGCGCATCACTGACGAGCCCCAGTAGGGCGGAACGCGTCTGATACTTTTCCGGACTAGGCAGTGTTATGTAGCTTGTGAACTGCTGGGACGAATACACTGAATTACAGCGAAATCCTCCTACTCACGAGTAACATGTGCCTTTAGTTTTTGGCCCCACCAGCGTCGAGGTCAATAAGCATTTGGGGCAAAGCTTATTTGCGTTGCTCTTTCCTCCATACCACATTGAATAATCTGCCGTATTTTCAAGTTGTTACTTGCTGTGCATAATTGGTACTACAAAAGAACGCATGGAATGCTAAAGTAATGAAAAGGAGAAACAATATGTTTTAAAACGTGCATAGCCGTCGGAAAATGCGTTGCGAAATGCAATGCAAGGTTGAATTGTAACTCGGTATATAGATTGCAGGTGTAATGTGTTTTTAGATAAAATTCATTATTATGTTGGCTAATAGGTAGCAGATAAAATTGCATTAATCTTTGCTGGTCTATTTCTTTGCTAACTCGAGGAGAAGTGCACGAATGATCCTGTAAGATAACCCCAAAAATTTATCTTCGGAATAGGTTTTCATCACGTATCCTACGTAGGGCAAATTTTTCAGCAATACTTTTTCTGCGCTAAAACTTCTAGAGTATAACGCTTTACTTATCGACCACTTTGCTAATTTGACCTGTCTTTTCAGTGCTCATAATTTTATCACGTTAACTTTATACCATCAGACCTCTGTTGGTCGGCCAATTTAATTTAGTCACTTCTGTGGTCAAAACACAGAGGTTTTGCTTAAAATGTTTTTTGTGCTGCTACTGTCATCTTGGTCACGAAATTACACTGAAACAAAAGTAAAATATGTTTAATGCGGAAACTTCGAAATGGAATCTTTTTCAGCAATGAATTCAATAGGATTTTTAACACTGGTGTCGAAGAGTTCTCATTCGACAAATGGTTTATTGACCATGTCATGCTTAATCCAAACGGTCTGAAAAGCCAGGGTTTCTAAATGTTTAGAGCTTCAGTCATTGTACATCTAACTCATGTAGGTTGCCTGGGCTTTAGGGATTTACAACGTTATGGCAAATATACTAAGGCATGATACCACTAAGCAATGCAATTAAAGAAACCTACCAAAAATAGATGCGTTTTCGTCGAAACTCATGCCAAGTTTCTTTTGCATGTTGACTGTGTAGTAGAGATACTTGCACTATTATCGAAATTATTACGTGATAGATGAAAGCGGTTGCCTGTGCTCCCAAATACAATTTACTGCATCCATGTGCATGTTTGCGGACGACTACATAACCGATTTCCTTACTCTAAATCACCGGAAGTTAACATAGGTAAAATATTGAATCCGCCTTAATGCGGTGAGTGAAGAATGGTCTCTTCCTGCAATACCGAAAAACCATGCGTCTAACAACCCGATGTCTTAGGACGAGTATTACAAAGGCCTAACTCCAAACGCTTGTGGACCGTGCAACAACGTTTAGCATTCATGCAACCGTACCTATGGCCAAAGTCAAATAAGCAGTGGCAACTATATTCTGAACCATTAAGCATTGATTTTACAGAATATGCTGGACAGGTTATGGTGAATATGTTAAAACTGGAAAGGCAATAAGCGAATTCCTGTGGTTCATAAGCAACGTGCTAACACCCCTCCCAATAGTAATCCCTCAAAACGCTTTTAAAGTTGTAGATATACACACGACCGGCCGATATCGTAAAACCAATTTTTCGACATCGGCTTGATGCCATGGCTTTTTCAACAATAAACAGTGTATAAAAATTAGCGAATGACTGCTGCGGAATCGGTAAAGCCAGTTTGTTCGGATCGGATATTTACTCGGTTGTAAATGGATTATTATCTTGCGACTTCTAGGAAAAACGTAGGAAGTGCTTCACTCGAGCAGCGTTTTAGCTCTGTGGTTAATTATGTAGAAGTTTAACCAGTACCGTGGGTTAATTTTTCGATAATTTTTGAAATCCAGTGAAGAATTTGTGAGATTCAGTGTGACAAGGCTTGGAATAACTTGCACCTACAAACTACCCGCCGTACAAATTAATACAAACTTACGACGTTCCGGTCGGATACACCGCCGTGTCTACGGATACGCTTTGACAGATAACACCACATGACAACTCTGCGGGGTGCTGACGTTAAATTAGATCCTTCATGGACATGTAGTTCTTTTATGTTTACGAACAGTGGTCGGCATAATGTCGTGTTCAAATAATTTTGCTTTGCTTTTGCCCTCAAATAACTTATCCTACGCAAACTTCCGTTTGGCACTCGTTGCTCAACTATGTGATCTTGCATTTGAATGGTTGCAATGCGAACCTCTATCGATTCAATTGTGCTGCGCCTGTTTGCGGACAGCTTTCTCCATACATACAGTCCGGTGCTGCTCTTGTCTTCTGCTTTTTCGGGATACAACACTTATCAAATCAGCATGAAAACACCAACCGTTCTTAATAGCTTTGTACTTCTTTACAGTCTCTATTCTGTTAATAAAACCACTTGAACGGTCTGGCAATTTAAAGGCCATCAGGTTGATGCTAAACAATGGTGCCAGATATAAGCTTGCCTTTTATAAGTCCTTATCATTAAATAGTATGTGTGAGAATAGTCAAAACGTTTGGTAATTGTGTTACGCATGGGTTGCATAGATATTGGTCTCATATAGCAGCTTAGGATGCAGTCGGTTACATAGCATGTTTTTACAGCTGTCGACAATGCATTAAAATAACTAGAAATTTGATCACCTGACGATGGGAAATTTGTTGCAAAAACGGGTAACGTGGTAAAAGTTGCCAGTATTGCTCATGTGCTACGGTGTAACATGTTCGTCTATCATATTCTTCAACTTCCACTTCAGGATTCAAGGTTCGTTTTCCTGCATGGGTAGGAGATGGAAATGTATTGTCACAGCGGGTAAGCAGATTTCAACAAAGAAGTTGGTTAACCTTTTACTCATGCAAATACAAATAATCACGGTAATGTAATAATGAGTATAACATGAATCAGCAATGTGTAGAGAAAATCATTTGGTAACATTTCTTGATGTCATTAACTGGTTATCAAACATATTCGCGCTAAGGATGAGGTGAAGTTTACTTATAAAGACTAATTCCGTCTTTGCAAGTATTTGCATAGTCTATTTTTCATTCTCTTGTGTAACACAACATGAGCGAATAAATTCCCGATTGCTGTGTGTTTTACAACTAAAAGCCTTCCACTCATAAGCACTATAAAATGCAGCCTCTCCTAGTTTCAAATGCTATGGATATAGCGTCTAGTGCAGGGAAGTCCAAGTCCAGCCCGCGGATAGTGAACCGCGTTAGTATTTGAAGTGGCTTGCAGCCTAATCGCATCTAAATATCAAACTAAATAGAATCCAGCACAATTTTCCACATAATATGTCGCCCAGTTTCCGAAAACTTTAGACATCCCTATCCTAGTGACAGGAAGCATGATTTGGAAGCTAAATGCTGTCATCTGCAATGGTAGCAATCTGCGTGACAGTGGAAGATAGCTCGTGCTATGCCCAAGTTAGCTTGCAAATTATGTAGCCCAGCCGGTCGCCCATGTCTCAGCGGCTCAACCTGCTGGCTACTGGCGTCAGCCTCCAGCCGTCATAAGTTCAAAACTTAGTAGGGGAACGACGGAATGAGCACCGTGAGTAGCCATAATAGGGTGCATTGTGTCTGGTGCTTTTACGGTTTGTGGTTTAGCTATGTAGCTTGTGAACTGCTAAGACGAATACATTAAAGATATTGAAGTGCTACCCGGTTACACAAATACAACAACATTTAATGCCCTGATCCGAGAGCGGCACTCGGCTCATGGTGACTGGCAGATTTCCTCATGTTCAATAGCCTATTTATTTACGCAAACAAGGCTTGACACAGTGGTTAGAACTTGGGCACAATATACTGAGTACGCTGTACGACGGAAATTGCCCTGCTATTTTTATGGACCGTATTATTCATTCTGTGTATTTAACCAAAAATGTTGTCTTCTAAGTAGACTGCTGCAACTGCTATCTTTTCCTTAGATAAAAGAAGTGCTTCCAGACTTCAAGGTTGATATCGAGCCAAAGACAAGTGGAAAAACCTATGGAGAAAATTCCTTCACGATTGTAATACGGAACCGAGTTGAAGCACCGTGGGGCTACCCGGATTTTCAAATGGAGGCGCTAAACAAACTGGAGCAACTTATACAGTGGCCTTTTATGAGTGAAATAAAGGTGGACGCAATTCAATGGCCCAGTTTAGAAGGTAACCAGACTGTCGTTGCTCGTTGCTCTGCAGAATTTTCCCACGTTTAAACTACTTTTATTTGGATACATATTTGAAATTTCGCTATCTCTGCCAATATAAACACACAAATACACTAGGTGTGTTTGGCACCATGTGTAGGTCCAAAACTGGGCCAGTTCTACGATAAAAATGTGGGTTGTTTACCAACATAAACTGCTAGTCGCCATTGCAGACTGCCATTTCTCTCATACCCAGCTGATTCTGGCCTTAATTTTCATTGTCCAAACTAGAGAAAGCTCTGGACGGACAACTGCAATCCTTCAAAAAATAAAATCGTCGATTGTAGTCATAGTCTCGTTAGCTGACTAGACGTCAAACGAATACACGGAATGCATAAATTCCTAAAATTTTATTTTACAATCATGGCTTGACTTGCGTATGCGACCAACCCTTTTGAAAGTTTGCATACACAATGTTAAATGTATTCATAACATTTGCATTTTAACCGTAAGGACTAAATTCGGTTACTTTATTGTAAGATTTGTAATCTTGGTCACAATAGCTTACCCACTACATGTTATTACTACAATACCAAATATTGTATCTGTGCAGCCTAGTATCCCCCTCCCTTTTATTATCTACCCATGAGCCCCACAACCTATAAAATGATGGTATAAATATCCGTAAATTTTACACATTAGGTGCTCGGGTCTTGGACCCGAGGCAAAAAAGCATGATCCAAAATTCTATTATTAAACCTTCCTTTACTAATAAGATTTACGGCGCATAAACCATGAAGCTTATTCACTATACAAATGATCTCTTCCGCTTATGGGGCCGTGCACCGTTTGTTGGTAAATGTACAAATTTATTTATTTATTTCTTTTCTAAATAAATGCTCACACTGAGGACGACGAGGTAACGTTTAGCAACACGTGCTGCGCGGCAGCTTCAAAGTAGGACAGTTTTATTAAGGTGTACGTGCCGATATGTGATTCAGGTAGATAATCGAAGGAAATCCTGGAGGTAAATGAAATAATGAAACATCTACGTACATGAATAATGATAATATCCTATGCGAATGCATGACATTCACTAATGACAATTGCGTCGACAAGGTCCGGCGCCGAAAGCAAAATACTTGGCAGAATACAAGTGTACCGCTGGTAACTCCGCAGTCTGCAGCCTGTAGACGCAATGATGGTTAATAAATAATTCAATGGGCATATTTTCCGACGAGCGGGATACCTCCTTTTTTGTAGAACGATCAGATTAAATACCTTCTATCTACTAAAGTCTAAAACTTCTGGCCCAAATTTGGGCACTTATATTAGGTTGGTGCTGACGTTATTTTACTTTCATGTTTCAAGTTTAAATGCACATATCTTGGCTCAGAAGTAACATTTTACTCGAAATCATAAGCACTAGAATTGGCACACTTATGCCAAGGAGATAGAAGTTAATTTATTATAGATGAATAAAATTCCGCAGTACTGTTGGCGATGAAATCCTAGAAGGCGGGCACAGTATCTCCTAGGGTATTAAAACATTCCTCCCGTAGGAAGTTATCCAGTTGCTTGCAAAACTGTTAATCCCGAAGCTTTGGTTCAGGGGGTATGGTGAGTGAAGCAAAGTTTCGCAACCCAGCTCGTGCGGCTTCCGCACGGTTATTAATGAGAACTGCAACCGAGTGTTATCATGGCGAAGATTTGACCCCTACAGTTTGCCAGTGAATGGCACCTATCTTGAAGTTTTTCGGTGCATTACGACAATTGGTTGACAATACTCATGCATTATATTACTTTCATTTGGATTCAAAAATTTGCGGTGGATCATACTATTCGCAGACGACCAACCAGTCACTATAGCCTATTATAAATGCACGTTCAGCTTTGGGAAGTGTTGCGGAGCTTGAGTGTGGTCCAACCATTGAGAATTGGGTCGACTGTCCTAAAGGTTCTTTATTCAGAGCAAGGCAATCCTGTCGAGAAAAGGGTCGTTTTAATTGTGAATATAAGGAGCGGAGCAGACCTCAGAACGACGATTTCTTTGATTTCCATTCAGTACCAATACAATAACAGGGAAATCCTTTTATATGTCTTACAGGGCACAGTCAAACCAATCAAATTTATTGTTGTGGTCGTTCGTTATAAGATTACGTCCACGGCAACCGCAGGTTGACAACTAATTGCTTTTGGACACACAAAGCTGGTCTAATTCGGCTTATCGCGACGGCCTCGGCAAATCGTAAAAGGCGTGCATTAGTATGACGTAACAAGATCCGGAAAGCTGATAAGGGATTGACCTGGTGACGAGTCGCCAAGATGTGCCTGCCTATGGAGGACGCTGGTGGCTTACGCGAACACGTATCATCGGAGGTAGATTGGGTAACTTCACGCTGAACCCAGTTTGGTAGGTGTTCCTTCACTCGGGAATCTAAAACCCGTTCGGTCCTGCCGATGTAACTGATACCGCAGTCACACACGAATTGGTAGACACAGTGTGATTTGGCGCCGACGGGTTCATCTTCCTTTACTGAAGGTAACGGCAAATTTCGGGTTCTGTTGATAATTACCGCCTCCGCAGCACAGTATGTACGCTGAATGGCCGAGACAATCCGTTTGGTTATCCTTTTCGTTGCAGTGTCACCCTTGAATGGGAGCTCAATGTACACCTTCTTCTTAGGGGCTGTCAACACCATCTCCTTGGGCGGTCTAACTTGGCTATGTTTGTCTATGAATCTCTTTGGGTAGCCATTCTCCATAAGTGTCTTAGTGATCAGCTCTAACTCTTCAGCCAGGCAGTCGTTGGAGCAGATACGTCTGGCCCGAGTGAATAATGTTTTTACTAGCGCGCGCTTGTGTACCATCGGTGAGAAGCTAGTGAAGTGTAGATATTGGCCGGACCACGTTGGCTTCCGGTATACAGATCGCTTAATCAGCGATTTCGGATCCTTGTTCCGGATCCTTGTTCGGATCCTTGCACCACTAAGGCAGCACTACAATTTGCACAGCATTAAGGACTCTTTTGAAACAATCGAAGACCTAGACCAAATCAGCCTAGCCGACAAGTTTATGTGCTCAGTGGACGTCCAATCTTTATTTACTAATTACCCCTTGCTTGAGACAGTTGATTACATTTGCCACCTGATAGAAGAGGAGAAATTCCGTCTACTTATACCGACAGACCTCCTGAGACAGTCCCTTTTACTTTGCACTTTTACTTTTTGCACTTCACTAGCTTCTCACCGATGGCACACAAGCGCGCGCTAGTAAAAACATTATTCACTCGGGCCAGACGTATCTGCTCCAACGACTGCCTGGCTGAAGAGTTAGAGCTGATCACTAAGACACTTATGGAGAATGGCTACCCAAAGAGATTCATAGACAAACATAGCCAAGTTAGACCGCCCAAGGAGATGGTGTTGACAGCCCCTAAGAAGAAGGTGTACATTGAGCTCCCATTCAAGGGTGACACTGCAACGAAAAGGATAACCAAACGGATTGTCTCGGCCATTCAGCGTACATACTGTGCTGCGGAGGCGGTAATTATCAACAGAACCCGAAAGTTGCCGTTACCTTCAGTAAAGGAAGATGAACCCGTCGGCGCCAAATCCCATTGTGTCTACCAATTCGTGTGTGACTGCGGTATCAGTTACATCGGCAGGACCGAACGGGTTTTAGATTCCCGAGTGAAGGAACACCTACCAAACTGGGTTCAGCGTGAAGTTGCCCAATCCACCTCCGATGATACGTGTTCGCGTAAGCCACCAGCGTCCTCCATAGGCAGGCACATCTTGGCGACTCGTCACCAGGTCAATCTCTTATCAGCTTTCCGGATCTTGTTACGTCATACTAATGCACGCCTTTTACGATTTGCCGAGGCCGTCGCGATAAGCCGAATTAGACAAGCTTTGTGCGTCCAAAAGCAATTAGTTATCAACCTGCGGTTGCCGTGGACCTATTCTGATAACAATGACCACAACAATAAATTTGATTGGTTTGACTGTGCCCTGTAAGACATATAAAAGGATTTCCCTGTTATTGTATTTGTACTGACGAGATAATACTAAATGCTAGCATCTGCCAATATTCGTCTTCTCATTTCGATGTTCAAACTACTGAATGGGACCAACTGTTTTAAGTTACATTTCCATGCAATCCGTGTGGCATCAAGTTATCAAGCTTTTGCGACATTCCAATGGCTCGTACATGCTTTCAAAATCTCCTATGCCACACTGTCAACCCAGCAGCATGATCAGGAATAGTTTTAGGCGGATCCGCTTTAACTAAGACACTTAACTGATTGTTGTTCATTTCCAATGGCCGTCCAAAACAATCTTCATCTCCAAGCCTTTCGAAATTGCTGATACCACCGGTGTGCAGTACGGTTATTAGTGATTCCAACACTAGGTGTAACGTTTCCACTGTATTTCTACCAAGTATAAATTGGGACACGGAAATTGTGCGAATTTGTATTCCTTCTATGCTGCATTACATGTTCTATAAAGATTTAAATATGTGTCAGTGCGCAAAATTATCATCATATTTTGATATAGTGCCAAATAGGCACCAGAAGCAAATTATTAAAACGTATTTAAAAGCAAAGTTGTTGAAGTAGAAATATAAAGAAAACGAATTAACTTTATTACCAACCTAATACTAGCGATGCGTTTGGGATTTATCATAAAGTTATTTGATCTCAACGTAGGTAATATGGGATTACGAATGAAAGTTAAGGATAAGTTGTCTTATCCGACAATTCGCTGATTTGACTGTTTCCATTCCGTTGTATAATCATTCCAATCCGGCATCATATCAACGGTCTATCGGGCGATCACTTACCTCCATTATGCCGTCGCGCTAAATAGCTGAGTCAATTCGAAAGCAGTTAGTTCCCATCAACAATTTGAAAAACACGAAAAGAAGACGAAGGCCGGTAGATGCATGCATTTCGTATTGTCTTCTTAGTACCCTTAACAATAACCGATATGCATGGATATAGCTAAGAGTGCATGCAACGGACAAGCATGCGATGCAGGACGAATGACGCAGGTTCACACCTTTGG